GGGACAAACACGCAGACACAATTAATCACCGATTCCCCAGAATATGGGAGACTATGGGATGTCGGGGGGAAGACAAGAACCCCGAAAAGATGGGGAAATGCGGGGGAGTCTTGTTACACGCTGGTCGTTGAAAGTAGGAATTTCTGGCTTCCCAGATCTGAATCTACTTCAAGCGCCTTCCTACTTGAAGAACCGCCGCTACGTTTCGTTATGTGGTTTGCTGTTCTCTGGGAGGCCCTGAACCCATTCTACTTGATCCGCCTTCCCACTTCATGTTTTTACCTACATCTTCCGACCAGCGTGTATTTGTGTGTATTCGGCACCGCCTGATTCCGGGGCTTTGCCCCCTCCTGGCCTTAATGTGAGGCCCCTCCTTCTGCCTTCCTCTCTTCAATTCAAGCTGTGCGCGGCCCGCTTAGCTTCGACCGGAAGAGGTGCGTTCTCGACCCGCGGATCAAAACATGTTTTTGTGTGTATGTATGTGTGTGTGTCCCAGGGCCCCTTTCACAGCTGTGCTGATGGGTCGCCCCGTTGCCACCCGTGGGCCGCCTCGTGTGCCCGGGCAGGTGTGCCGATGCCTCACAGCTCTGCCGCCCGCTGGTTGGTCGTGGGCGCATGCCATCAGATTCGCCAGGCTTGCGCCACATCGTTTGCACCACGTAGCTTCGGGTGCAACTCCCGGAAGGTAAAGTTCTGTTTTCGCCCTGGTCCGAAGTCCGGCTTAATCCAGCTTGTTCCCGCTGATTCCGGCTTCATCTGGCTTAATCCCGCTTAATCTCGCTTAATCTTGCTTAGTCCGAGGCCCTTTCCAGCGTAAAGGCTCCCAAATGGGGCTTAATCCTCCTGAATCTTCCCGACGAGAACCTCCCATTAGTTGCCTCTTAACGTGGCCTTCACGAGATAGTTGGCACCAAGGAGCTTGCATTCGTATTAACTTGCAGCACGTAGCTTACATTACATAGTCAACGCCCCATATCCAACACCACATAGCTGCTCATAGCTTGCACAACATAGCGTGCACCGCAACGTGTGCCGCACAGCTTGCATCACATAGTTTGTACCACGCAGCTTACACATTCGATCGGCACCACGCTTGTTGCATCAGACAGACTGCGCAACCTGTGATATAAGTTGCATACTATCGATTGAAGACTACATGTTTGCGACACTCAGAGCGAACTCCATATACACATATTGGCATACGTAACGAGGTGGATTCTATTTTCCACCAACCAGACATGTGAGCCAGCATGTGCAATATCTGTGGTACAGTCGATGCGGTGCAATCTATGTGGTGCAATCCGTTTGTGTGTTCGCAG